ATAGTTTAACTAATTTTAGTAACGACTTAAGATTTATCAAATAATATATACATTCAAATATAAATTAAATTAAACAATATAGTACCTGCAGTCAAAAAATTCCTGTATTTCATCTCTAGCATCCTCTTCGTCTAAATTAACAGACGTTGTACCTTCTGTATTACCATTTTCAATAGTGGCAAGTACACGATCTGGTCCTTTATTGATATACTTAAATAAGTACTTGATAGACCTGGCTTGAGTGCACCACTCCACATTAATATGAGCTCTGTAACGAAGAGATAGTTCCCGGTTATATGGAACAACGAAACTGTTGTCAATCTTCAATCCGTTTTTTTCAACAAACGCATCTGTTTTCCTTCGCATATAATGTGGATAACCATTGCTGTCAATAGAAGTTCTATCACAATACTTCTTTGGAAACATCTTTGAACACTTTCCATTAACCATACATGGTGAACTCTTGTTGATCGCTCCACATGGACCATGAATCATGTTTTTTTTTAACAACTTCGTATAGGTAAGGGTCAGTATCTTTATCGGGTATCTCTGCAGATATTACTTTGTCAATCGCTTCCGGGGTTTGTGTTTCTGAGCCATCCACAGCAATATATGTGAATGAGGGAGTCCTCTTTTCTGAAATTCAATAGTATACATTCCTGGTACATAAAGAGACAAAGTTGTCATTATTTAAGTATATTAAAAATGATATTTTTATATCAATAAACATCACAAAAGAGTTATGAAAACGCACCGCAAACACTTTTTCCAAAGATGTTCTTCTCTGTCAAATCAGACATCAAACTCTCTAGCTTCATTTTGAAAATTCTGCAACAAATATCTGGTCTGTCCTCTGGCTTGAGATTTTGTTTTTTTGTATACCTTACAATCTCTGGCCAACTTGGATTGCAAGTAAATGTTATAAACAAATCTGGAAAACCAAAATGTTTACAAATTGCCATTGCATCCAAGTAGTTGTTATTCATGTATCGTGGACCACCTGTAAAAGATGCAGGTATCAATATTCTTTTGCCATTGTTAGATAGATCAGAGTTGCCATCGTTAGCAACTTTCTCCAGATTGACATATTTATCAGATCGAAGTTTTTTCTGGTTTTTCCTGAGGTAACGTAGACGGCTAGACTCAATCATAGTATAAACATCCACCAAATACTGCTGGTACAGACGTTTAGAACGAATAACTGCTTGAGATTCCAATAACCTATCTTGTATGCGAAAGGCATAGAACTCTCTCATGCTAATCGTTTTCCTTTTGCGTTCTTTTCCATTGTCAAATCCATCTTCAATACCAACCTGAAAACCATCTTCACCATAAGGAAACAACAGAGGGTATTGAAGTGCGAGATACCCAACATATAGCTCACTAATCCTCCTTAGCTTTCCTTCTATTGTTTCTAACACAATATCTCGTTTATCCATTCCTTCAGGGAAATCTCCTGGTATTAAAGCAGCAACTTCGGATGACGTAGGCATGTTATGAGTGCGTGCGTCCTTATTTATATTTGCTACCAATACCAACTTGGCATTGTCTTCTGGCTGATCAACATGAAATCTATCCTTGTAAGAACGAAAAGCTTTCACCATCGGATTAAAATGATCTAACATCTGAATGAGAGCTTCAATTAGTTCTGGCCTTAACTTGTTGGAAATTTTGTGATTTTTACTGCATTTGATATCATGTAAGACATTAGGCATCAGAAATGTAATATTAAGCATTAAATTAGTTGTTATAATAAAGAGGCATAATAAATTAAACCTGATTGAAAGCTCTCTATTGAGTATCTCATTGATAGTATCATGTATGTAGAGTTGTAGAAACTTCAGCTTATCGTTTCTGTTTGGCATCAAACTTCCAATTAGATGGTAATTCTCTCCATGAAGCTGGAAAATCTGTGGACCTCTTCCTTTGTTTACATCATAATTGACCTTACCACCAATAGAAGTAAATGAAAACATCATATTGTAAGCTCTAAGGTTTTCACGGAAATGTCTGCAAATCTCATCATCGCTGCAGAATAAATACAACATCAGAGGAGGTGGCTGTTGTAAGAGAGGCAACTTAACTTTTCCCTTCATACAGCATAGTGTAAAAATATAATTCTTTCCTCTCCTTTTTTTGCCAATCCTCTCATTAAACCACATACGGGCCGTACAGTGCTTGCATTCAAATAATGGATCACCATCATCATGATAACCTGAAAAAATAAATCACAATAGTGTCGGATAAAGATGATAGACTCTGGGAATAACAGGTATAGTAAAAAAATATATCCAAGACGGTAATGTTTTGAAGAAAATGATTACCATTATCCTGGATTGTAGGTCGCATATTTTGTTGTTGATCATCAGATATTTCAACATTTTCAGAGTCTAGGTCATCATCAGATTGATCGTTTTCACTGAAACTTTCTTGGTCATCATGAATTTGTAGACTATCATGCTCCCGGTTAATAGTAGTATTTTGATTTTCCTGAGTTAATACTATAAATAATAATGTAATAAGAACAATTTATAAACACGCGTACTATTTACATATTTAATGAGTGGTTACCTGAGGCCTGAGTGCAGGAATTCTTAGTTGTATCGATTTTTTGCTTCCTGTTTAATCTTGCAATTCTCTGTTGCTCGAAAACAGTGTTATGCATATTTTTGCCTTTAATCGATTCAGAAATTTTGAAGACAGAGTTATTCCACCAAATTTTAACTTGGAGAGGTCAAGGATACTTTTGTAACTAAAACAAAAATTAAATCCAAATACGAATATATAAAATTGTAATAAGGACAATATATATGTTACAAAAATCTAGGTAAGGATACATGACAACTCCAAATTTTGGAAGGCCTTTGTTTTGGTTGTTTTGGTTGTTTTTGTTTTTAATAGTGCTGTTTATATAAAATTTCGTTTAGATATATAATGTTAAGAACAATATTATTTATAGATGTGATAACAAAGAATTCTTACTCGCAGATTTAGATTTGGATGCTAGCCGAGACAATGGTGGTCTACTTCGTGATAGTTGAGAGGTACCAAATTCTGTAGAAATTGGTATACAACTTATATTTGAACCTCCTGGTGTAGTTACACAACTTGCTTGCGTTGGTATCTGAGTAGTAGTCAGACATTTACGCGTTGGTATAGTTTTCGGACCCTGATTTTGATTTGTACAATCAGTGAGGCATAACACTGTAATTTGAATAGTGTCAACATCAGTATTAGAGTTGTATAAGTAGTTAGAGGAATGATGTAATGAACAGCTTCAGAATACAATTTCAAGAAACCTGATCTATTTGAAATTGTAGAAGAGTCATTGACAATTAAGCCTTGTGTTATGTTCTCTTTATTCGAAGGGTGAGCGTAATCTGGAATTGTTAAACAATGTTAGCAAGAAAATATAAAGTTCAATACAATACAATACTTATGAGTACATAAGTAACTACAACTAACTGCGATTAAGTTGTTGTGTCATGGTAGACTGAGAACTCCTTTTGGTGTGGCTTGAGTTCGTGAGATCTCTAAGTATTGTATTAAATGCAACACGAACAGCAGGCTGGTGAGTTGTTTTATTTGATTGCGCATTGTTATCATCATTATTGATGGAATCTGTAAATTTGCATGTAACATACGATTGATAACAAATACAAATGCTAACAAATGAATAGAATTAATAATCTTAAAATAGTATGTTCGTACCAACCAAACTTCTATCTTTCTTTGATTTCTTGGATGATCGTCCATCTTCGGTAGCTGAATTTTCACCGAGAACATTACTTTTTCTCATATCTCGTTGTTTGCTTGAGATACTTGATTCAAACATAGATATTTCCAATATAGTAGATTATATTGGAAAAAAGATAACAATAGTGGAATGTTTCTCAATTATTGCATATCAAATACTCCATAATTTGTAATCTAGTTGCTATATACAGGCAATCAAATCAGGGATAAAACCATTACATATATTCGATTAACGAATTATTTTCAAAATCATTAGTAGGAGTTTCTTAATATTAGGAATAATTTGAAATTCAGTTACCATAACTAACATTCAAAAGATTTGTAAAACTTCAAATATTTAATAACAACTTCAATTATTTCAAAATATACCAATAAGCGGGAACTTTTTAAAATTTTCGAATCTGGTCTACCACTTGGTACTAATTAGAGGTAAAACACTTACATATATTCGTTTAACTAATTATATTCAAAATCATTAGTATGAGTTTCTTAATAGTAGGAATAATTTGAAATTCTGTTACCATAACTAACATTCTCAATATTTGAAAAACTTCATATATTTAATAACTTATACAATTATTTCAAAATATACCAATAAGCGGGAACTTTTAAAATTGTCGAATCATACATTTCACTTGGTACTAATTAGAGGTAAAACACTTACATATAATCGCTTAACTAATTATATTCAAAATCATTAGTATGAGTTTCTTAATAGTAGGAATAATTTGAAATAATTTGGAATAATATGTGAAATAAAAAATTATTATTAACAATCATCTAAAGTTATACATGCTTCAAAAAATGTAAAGTATATCGAATCATATCGGAAAGTACTATAAAGCAGTGTTAGTTTCAACAATTGATTTAAATAGAAGTTTTGTGTGTTTAGGTGAGATCATAACGTCAATAATTGTTACATTTGAGGTTACCTTTGGTTGTATTAGGTTATGGTTACATATTATTAAAAATATGTAAATCATAAATATTGCACTACTGTGTTATCGTGTGTCAATAATATCCAAGGATTAAATAACCTAAAAAATTTGTAATGGTGTGTAGACATCAGAAATAACAGCCACATTTTAGATAACCTGCTTTATTAATAATATTGCAAAACATCAAAATATTAAATTGAAACTTATAAAAAGAACAACATAAAATATGAAAAATTCAATTAAGAAAATAAAGGAAACGAAATAGTAGACAAAAGGAAGCAGGATGAATGAAGAAATCACACTTCTTCAATCATCTGTTTTTTCTTTCTTGACCGGCTTCATCACAGTATGTTTCGCATCATCTCCATTTTTGAAATCATTTTTGGTTTTCTTTGAAGCTACAGAAAGCTCCCCACTGTCATTTCCGATCTCTTCACTATCATTGCTTTTGCGTTTCGACGACGGTGTCTTCACATCCTCATAGTCATCTTCAAGCAAGAGTGGAGCCTATAAGTAACAGAAAATTAATTAAAATATCTACTATAATATAAAAAGTATGATCTTCAATATATAGAAGAATATCTTATAAAAAGTATATTATAAAAAGTATGATTATGGATCCGATATCGAGAAGAAATTCCAACCTCTGTAGTGAGAGATGTCAGAACGTGTTCTTCATGTTTAGCTTCAATAGTGTTCTGTGAGCAGACACAAAATATTTTAGTAATAAGAGATATGCGTTATAAGTTGAACACATATTTGTATGATCTTATGTTCATGACCTGAGACACAGAAATTTCTGAAAACTCCTTCACCAGGTCACTTTGTGTAACGATCTTCATAACCTTGTAAGTGTCACTATTGAAGACAATGTTTGAACTTTCAATAGCAACCTTAAAAAGATAAGTCTTCCCACATATGTTGCTCAGGGACATAGGCAAAACATCCGGATCCTGAATCTATAAAAAAAAAAATTTTAGAATAACAAAAAAGTTAAACGATAATGTCAGAAAAGGATTGATATATAGACAGTTGATGAGAAAAATATACCTCATCTACCGATGAGTAAGTGAAGAGGCAGTCTGATTGACAACTTCCATAGCAAGCTTATCAAATAAAAGAAATTTTGTTTCTCCAGTGTTATCCATTACACGGAATGTAAGCATGAACCTGCATATTGTAAAATATAATATAAATACAAATAATATTAATAAATATTACTAATAAGATGTAACATTATGTACTTACGCTGGAATGACTTCTTCAACATCAGTATTACATTTACCACACTTCCATAACTGTTTCTTGAAAGGTCTACCGGGATATTTCTCCCTCATTGCATCCATATCATGAGGAAGAACTTTTTTTGAACAGGTTTTACAGGACATGTAATACCAACCAAACTCGGTGTCAATTGACATGATTGTAGCCATGGTAACACATTTTCCAACCTAGAAGATAAAAATATCAGATTTCATTATAGAATAATTTTAAATGATATAAAACAATTACAAACAATCTAAAAATTTTAACCTCAGATGCAGCTATTATCTCACTTATAGTCCTTCGAGGACTATGTAAGAAGAAATCATCACGAACAGAGACAGAATTGACGATTGTCAACTGATTTGGATGTGTGTATGATAGAGTAACACCATCAGCAGGTAGCCTACATAAAAGTTAAAAGGAAACGAATATATTATTTACGCAATGTTATATAACATGATTTCAAATTTAGGGTTTAGTGCAATACTTTTCTTTGAACGCTAAAACCTCAGGGATATCTGGATTAGTTAAAACAGTTGAACAATTGTAACAATTCCCAACACTCCAAACACCTGGATGACTTATAAAAACAGTTAGTAGATGAGGAAATATTTAAATATCATATGATTTGATGATGTTACCTTGGTAAAGCCTTAGTTTTGAAAACCGCAAGACAACAACAAAAACAGCTTCGGTTGTATTAGTTGCCAAACTCTCAAGATTTGAAGCATAAGGTCCCCATAGCACACAGTTTAGGCGAACATTTCTACACATGTTAAAGTTTTAAGAATTTAGTTGTACTAATAAAATCTAAAGTATAAAAACATAGATTCTTACTCAGTGTCTCTGATTTCCATGGTAAGTCTTTTTGTCTGCTTCTTGTTAACATTGAGGATTTCGACCTCCCCAATACTAACAATCTGTCCAACAACATCTGTAATTAAACATATTAGAATAATCGTTATTAGTAAAACCATCAATATATAGTTATTACATCAAAATACCTATTAAGAAATCCGGATTGAGTTTGCCCTCATGAATGTCCGAGAATTTGACGAAATTCAATCCAAGGATATTAGGATCAATATCCTCGGCTGGTCGTATAGATGTTGTGCTTGCGAATTGGATCTGCAGACATGAGGAGTCGTACGAAACTT